TAATAACTAATATATATATATATATATATATATATATATATATATATATATATCAGTTAGACTGTTTTAATTCTAACACAATAACAACAGAAGTGTAGGTCTTACTACAAAGCAAAGATTGTAAGAAGGAAAAATATAAAATTCTTTTGTGGTACTAGTAGTATTACGTACAAATCACACAAGTTTTTCATTCTAAGTACTGAATCATATTATTATTATTATTATGAACTAAATATAAAATTATGCTAAATTGTTGAGCTTAAAACTACAAAGTTAAATTCAAAAGAATATAAAAAATCACAAACTCTTTCTTCTCAAAGTCCTAAGTCTAATTCATGTAAAGACTTTGCACTCGCCACTCAGTAACTCTTAACCCTAACAATCGTGGACCAACTTCTTTCCTAAAAAATATATCTATTTTGCGTTAATTTTTCAATATAATGATTAATATAAACAGATATACCATGCAGCATGACTTAAGCTACTATATAAAAAAAATAAAAGTCACGTATATCCCATGCAGTTTTTTCCAGAAGCAACTTTTCTAACGCTTATAGAAAAGCCCTATTAGCCAGTACTAAATACAACCTCAACATAAAATGGCAGTTACTATAATAAGCACCACCCACATTCATATTGTAAAATCCAGAGAACACCGTTTCATCATGTGCTTTCCTTATCATCCTATGATTTGTCAAAAGGAGTTACAGCAATTGGAATAATTGGTACTGAAATTGACACTTTTGACTAGGATTGGCTAAAAGTTTTACAACTGAGGTTTAAAACGCCCAGACGCAGTTTTACAAAGAAAATAGACTAGAAAAAGGTTTAGATACCAATCATAGATGGCAGGACCAGTGCTGAGGTGAAAGGAAATATTTTAAAAAAATTGTTGAAAAAAACATTTCTTCTTAGAGGGCGCTTATTTACAGTCTAAAACGTATTTTAGGAATTTTTTCATTAAATTCCTCTTTAATCTTTATTAAATAATACAATTTTGTACAAATGATTGAATGTTATGCTACTATTTATAAAAATAAAATCAGAAATCCATTAAAAGATAAGTTCTCTATCATTTTTTCAATTCACAAATGATTTTGCCCTCACACTTGCATTGCCTACTAAGAAAGTTAGTAGCCGGTAGTCATCAGGTTTAATACCCTCAAGGAATAGCCCTGACTGTATGAAAGTGTTCACACAGAGTGAAACAGTGTGCCACATGAGCATTGAGTTTCAAAATCTCTGTAATGAAAAGAGGATTCATCATTCAGTGTATTTGTAAACTAATATAACCAATAAATGTTGACATATTAGCCAATAAGTGATGTTTTCAATCAGTATGATGTCTATAGTTAAACACATTTGAAACTTGATATTCACATTTGAGACTTCATGTGTTTATATGTGTTTTTAACTTGAAAAACACATACTAAACTTGTGTGCTTGAGGTTGACTGTTACATTCAGAACATTTCATGCACTTTATATACTTTTATCTTGACAGCAACACCACATTTCTAATCTTAATTCTGATGCAAGCTGTTTAAACACAAATAAAAGTTCTTGTGTTCATCCTATTTTTATAATAAGTTCTGTAATGTTAAAACATATGGGAAATTATTGGCTGCCATAATATTATCATTGTGTAGTTAGACAATCAAAACCTCTGTGATAGGGTAGTGCTACATTTTGTACAAAAGCATATTATCATAAAAAATGGCAACATGTTCAAGTATTGTAGTCATGAGTATCATGTTGGCTGTGATGATAGACTGTGACATGGTATTTTTGAACAGCACTTCACATAGTCATGAATATGATGTTGGCTCTGGTGTTACATACTCTGACACTATTTCTGAACAATACATTACATATAGTCATGAATATCATTTTGGCTTTGATACAGACTGACATGGTATTTCTGAACAGCATCTCACTATTGTAGTTATGAATATGATGTTGGCTCTGGTGTTACATACTCTGACACTATTTCTGAACAATACATTA